GCTTGAAGAGACAGAAGACAACAGACACACAGACGGACGGATCTCGATGCACAGAGACGAAGCAGAGATATGCAGAGCCCCCGTCTTGCTCACCATGCTTGTTCCGCCATGGCCCATGAGCATGAGACATGGCCCGGCACTGGGATGATGATGTGTTCACTCATGCCTCCACTATCGTCACGAAACCTTTCACCGCACTACATCGAAGCCCAGCTGCTTATTTGGCAAACGCGTTCAGCTGTCATTCATGATCCAGGCCAAGAAGAACGACTGGCGCTTGCCTGTGGGCTGTGTCCGGTGCTTGGAGAGAGAAGGGCGACTCAATTTTGGTTTCGTACCCGCACGGTTGCAGCTTGTGGCAAATGGCTTGCACTTTTTCTTCGCGACCAGTGTTGGCTCGAAGGCCATCCCAAGATCTCAGGCAGGGTCAATGCAAACGAACTAGAACCCCGGTGCGACTCACCAAGCATCGGTGTTTTGGCTAATGAGTCTTGCCCCTTCATGGAAAGGGCTGTTGTCCGACCTCTACGATTTGCTGTGTGTACCTAGAAGAAGTGAAATGCTTCAGTAGGGGCACGATCGAAACTAGCCGAGTTCAGTGAAAGAAGAAGAAGAAGTCGGAGAAGATCCGTCAACATGTGCGCAAGCAGACGCCGGACATGATCCAGATGTCGACGGACCATCTCCCACACAGCCAAGTTCAAGTCAATTGCTGTCGGGGGTCTTTGCAACTGACACCTACCCGCCGTCTCGATGTCGTGAGGTGAAGTACAACATTGGCTCCTTTCTTGCGGTTTTCTCACTGGGCCTCCTCGGCTTCTGGCACAACCCTGCCTGAAGCTCGGCAGAGGATTCCTGGCGAATTAGGCTGAGGGCATGTCGGCATCTGTCGGCTCCGAGCAAAATCCTGAGGCCGTGTGGGCAGACTGTCCAGGCAGGTGGTCGTTCATGCAAGGGTGATAGAGTTCTACTCATCCTATTTATCGAATTGCTTAGTTGTTGAACCGGTATCCCGCGGATTCTTACATGTTCTCTTTGAAGAAGCTCGAAGTGGTATGCTGCCTTCGTCCTCCAGCAACTCTAACCTAGCACTGCTGCAGTTCATCCTAGGTCAGGTCTAGGACATGTCACAAAAGCAATTGCAATCCCCGCCGACAGGCCTTGACGAGAGTTCATCCTTCCGGCTCCGTCGTGGCTTAAACGAAGCCCTGAAGCTGCGCTCTCAGGTCCGTAGGCCCCGTCGTGTCTGTTTCAACCCCTTTCATCATGAACGGTGGCTGCGACACCTCGATGTCGACATCGTGCTTGTTCTCGCAGGTTAGACTGTTCGTTTCAATACTACGGGTTTCTGCCCTGATTACCGTTGGCTTGCATCCCTCCTTGGATGGAATCTGAACACCCGAGTGCCCGTGACCCAGGGAATGGAGCTCTTCTCAGGCACAGATGTCGCTTCTTCACTGCTCACTGCTCTGCTCATTCAATGCGGGGCAGGGCAAAGAGGACCCTGAAAACTCACAGGAGGAATCGGAGGAGGCCTGGACTTGCGCAGTCTCCGAAAGGGGTAAGCATAGCGCAGCCCTCGGAGGACAGCGACTCGGAAGCGGAAATCCCAAAGAAGGATCCGGCCGAGGACCTTGAGCCCCTGGACTTGCGAAAGTTGTTTTTTCCAAAGCACCGCATCGCACTGCCGAGCACTTCCTGCATCTCACATGTGGTGGCCGTGAATCGTCGATTGTTACTTTGTCCTTCTCTCCGATGTGACGCTTCTACTTATTCATTCTGCTTCAAGAGTTGCCAGTGCTTCGTTGCTTGTTTGGGGTCGCTGTCCAATCTCGTCCCTGGGCCTGCGAGGACTCGAAAGGCGATGTGGCCGCGAAGCCCGCGAGCACTTCAGAGCCGGCGAGCCAGCTGCAATGAGCAAGGGGCATTCCGCAGCATCCCACATGTTCAATGATGATTTGTTATGGTTCGTGTCATCGGAAGGCACCAGAAAGTGCTGGTTCTCCTGCAAGTGACGTTGCTGCTGCCGACAGCTCAGAGGAAGACGGTATAGTTGTTTTTCATTGAGCGGTGTGGCAGCCTGCCATCACTCAGGCTCGTTCCGCAGCTGCCACGCATGCCACTGCCCAAGGCACTTCGGCACAGTGTGATGTGGCGGGCTAGTTGCCGTTTCGACAACTAGCACGACAAAAGCCTGCCTGTTTCTTGGGAGGCAAGTCGAAGTGGGTGTTCTGCGCAGGACAGTGGCAGGACCGAGGGCTGGCAATATCACGTCAAGCACACCTCTTACCAAGCACAACTCAAAGCAGCTGTCACGTTTGTTGTCCTGCCTTGCGAGAGCCGTGAGTAGGAGTGTACCTGTGATGGTGTGGTGCGGTGGGGCAACAACGACAAGTCGCTCGGCTGCTGAGTCAGTAGTTTTTTCGGACATATACCGACGGAGACATGTTGTTATGGCTCGACCTGTTGTCGTAGCAGGTGGCTCTATATCAAGCCGAAAGCAGCCGGATCTTTGGCAGCTATTGAGACCATGGACACTGATCTGAGGTTACATGGGCGGATGTGTAAGTGGTGCGAGGTGGGCATGCGCACGCACGCTATGCTGTGTGTGGTTGTGTGTGTGTGTGTGAGATTGCGTTTGTGTGTGTGTGTGTGCGCGCGCACGTGTGCACATTCTGTTTTCGGATTTGCAGGGTGCCTGAGGCTGACAGACGAGGCTTAGGCAGACCTGGTTGCTGAACCTGTGTGACCCGAGCCAAGGCGAACTTCTCACGGTAAAGTGCAGCATCCAGGCCAGCCGTATCTGAGTGACACAACTCTGACTTCAAAACATTCCTTGTGGGCGCCCCTGCCTCCTGCGATGATCTCGCAAGTCAGAGCATGTCACATCCGCAGGTCCTCAACGATATTCTTCCAGGCGATGACGGCAAACACTGCGAATGTCAGGTTACGCCTGGAACGCCTTTCTACCAAGGACCACGTACGCCTAGTCCTGCGAGTAGCATGTTCCAGCCCGCTGCTTTTCAGCTCACAACTTCTGAGAATTTAGTCTTCTCTACCGTGTTGTAGTATTTGCTGTATTTCGCTATATGATACTGTATTGCAGTATATGAAAGGATAATGAAGCGTTGCAGCCCAGAGCCGGAGTTCGGCTCAACCCCCGGCACCTTGTGACGAGGACTGAACCCCATGTGGCTGCTCCCGGAAGAAGCAGAAGCCGAGGGTGCGGCTTTGGTCTCTTCTTGCGATCTCTTTGAGGAAGCCAAGGAGAACCCCGACCGTGTGGGGGTTTAGGGGGCCCTCAGTTTCTTTTCTTGAGCGGTACCCCGGCAGTCGCAGTGTGGGCATGGACGCAGAAGGGGGCTACGTAGCCGCAACGCTGGCATTTGTTGAAGGACCGCGGCATATGGGGTCGCAACCAATGGCAAGCAGTCGAGGCGTTCCATGCCTGAGCAAGTTTACATTTCACAAAGGGAGGGGGGCCACGTCCTGGGTGTCTCGTTGCCGCAGTCGTGATCAATGTGCCCAGGTTCTGCTCCGAAGATTGGACAGAAACAGCAGAGACGATTGCTGGCGGCCCGGCAGCGAAAAAGCTTGCAGATGCTTGCAGTCGCTTGCAGCTCCTGCAGCGCGAGCGCTTCAGGCGACAGGCAGATGAGCCTGGACACCATGCGCAAATTGATGCAGGCTCGAGTCGATCCGCGTTTCAAGGATGCAACTTGGCCGGAGGGCAGGGGTAGCAAGGAAGTCCACTTTTTCGTGCAGCCGACCGGGGGCTCGGACTCAGGCTTACAAGGCTCATTTCGCCCAATCTGGTGAGATGCAGGGCTGGACGCCGAAGGCTTATGTCAACTATTTCGCGAGCACTCCATCCGGGAAGCACGCGAAGATGACGGAAGAGCTAGTTCGATCCGTACACCGCTTCTCCAAGAAGGCTCGTGCTCAAGAAGACACATGGGTCACTAGCATCCCATCTACCTCTATTTCCCCGACATACATGGAGATCGTTGTCCCGAAGGAGTAAAGGATGAACCGGGTGACGCGCAGCAGTTTCGAGTCGCATACCACAACCCTGCACGGACTCTTAGCTGATACTGGTACAAGAAGCTGGTTCACGTGCTTTGCAGGTGATCATTGTGGTGAATTTCGGCATGACGACGTCAGCAAAGCTTACCCCGGAGCGATATCCTCGCCTGATTCTGCTGCATGCTGACCCGATGGATACCACATTGAAGAGAAGCTTCAACTTCAACAAGATGCTTGGCAAAATCGCCGACAAGCACTCTGCAAAAAGCTTGACATGGAATCACAAAGCCAAGGCTTCGCGCCTTCCTCTTTGCACGGGCTTTGGCAGGGGTTGGCTTAGACTCCGAGCTGACCTCAGCTGATTTGATTTCGGTGTCCACTCGGATTTGCCCTTGTTACCTGCTTTCAGCCTGGCCACTACCAAGGACCAGTTTGTCGCACCCGGCGTCGACAACCTCTTCGAGATGACTGAGTAGCTCGAGTCAAGCTGCGATAGGGCCAGGGCTGGTCATAGCGGAGCAGGTTTCTGCGATGGTAGAGTTCGACGCTTCCGAGGCGAGAGATCACCAAAGATTATCCGCTCCCCATCATGCCGGTTCACTTCCTGGACCGAGGACCCAAGGCCTCGGACTTGTCTCAACAACACCGGCTGCTGGCATTGCTGAAGGGAGAGTTCGTGTGCAGGATCTCGGCATCTGGTGGAGCCGATATTGCGTTGATACAGCTTCTTGCCAGCAGAAAGGTGTTTTTCTCCATGACGCATGAACGAATATCTTTCTGGAGCGGGGAGCCGGTCGGACCCTCGCAAGGCGTGCAGTCTCCAAACGCTGCGTGTCAGCCTTAGCAAAAGGTGTGCAAAAGGTTGCAGCGTGACAGCAGCGGTGAAGCTTGTCACTTATCCATATGCAGCCTTTGCAGGCTCGAGGTGTCCAGTCGGGTAGGAGCCGGTGAGGACTCGACAGCTTCAGGGCAAAATGCTGTCTTCCAACGCTGCCTTCACGGTGATCAGCCCCTCCACGATTGCTCCTCAAGTGCATGTGGAGCCACAGGCCCCCAAGGCCAACACTGCAGGCGCGTGGGTCTCCAACAGCACCGGGAGTGCCTTGGCGGCTGCTGGCCTGGTGACTGCTGCCGGGCTTCGACGCAAGGCCCGTGGGGCTCGTGCCGCGAAGACCGGCCCTGTTGCCACCGGTTTGTCCAGCTCCGTTGGCAGTGAGACCTACTTCCGGGATCAGCTGGTCGCCTGCCGCGCTCAGCTTGATGGAGCGGAGGCGCCAAGCCTCCAGGAGACCGACCAGCACGTCCAAGACGTGCAGAACTTCGCAAAGCAGGCATTGGCTGGAGCCGCTGCCGCCATGGTCTTCACTTCGTCCATGGAGTCTGCAGTCGCATACCCCATCTTCGCACAGCAGAATTACGCCAACCCGCGAGAGTACACAGGCAAAATCGTGTGCGCCAACTGCCACCTGGCGTCCAAGCCGATCGAGGTGAGGATTCCACAGGCCGTGTTGCCGGACACCGTCTTCAAGACTGAGGTGGAGATCCCAGCTAAGTATGCCAAGCGCCGCCAGCCCATTGCAGATGGCTCCAAGGCGCCCATGAACATCGGCGCCATCGCCGTGATGCCGGAGGGATGGAAGTTGGCTCCCAAGGATCGTCTGCCGAAGCCGCTGAAGAAGGAGATGAAGGGCCTCGCCTGGCAGGCCTACAGCAAGGAGTACCCCAACATCGTGGTCGCAGGACCCGTGCCCGGCGAGACCTACGAGAAGATGGTGCTGCCGGTCCTAGCACCGGATCCCAACACCAACGACAAGGTGCTCTTCGGCAAGGGTATCTTCTACTTCGGCGGCAACCGTGGTCGAGGCCAGGTCTACCCCGAGGGCAACCAGAGCAACAACAACCAGTTCTTCGCCAACGCAACAGGCACCGTGAGCGCTGTTGATGGCTTGAAGGTGACGATCACCACCCCGTCCGGTGAGGCGAAGACCGTCGAGTGCTTGCCCGGTGCCGACATTGTGGTTCAGGTTGGTGATGAAGTCGAGAAGGATGAGCCGATCACCACCAACCCCAACGTCGGGGGCTTCGGACAGGAGGAGAAGGAGTGCATCCTTCAGGAAGCCAGGCTATCCTCATATCCTTAGGACGCTTTCGGTGAGTTCATGTGTGTCAGGTCTTCCACCCATGAGAAAGAAGTAGCCGCACGGCAGACTAAGGACATGAATCGCGTCTATGCCTACTGCGCGTTTGCCTTCTCCTGCTTCATTGCTCAGCTGTCTTTCGTCCTCAAGAAGAAGCAGTTCGAGAAGGTGCAGCTGGCAGAAGGCTTCTGAGGTGTCTGAGCTGAGCTCTAGTGGCCTGGGACTTTCCAACCTGTAGATCTGAGACTCGAGCCATGTTTTCCATTTCTCAACTTCGTCGCCCGTAGTGAGAAAGCGCAACACCACCTGCAGGGCTCAGCCAGTGCAATGACGGCATACGTTCACAGAAAAGTAGAGGATGCAATCTCATCTGGCAAGGATGGGGCCATGCACATCCTTCCTGGACCCATTGGGCACGACCCCCAGATGGACGAGCGGGCAGGAAGGACAGAAAAGTGCGCCAATTTGCAGCGATCAGCAGGCATTGCCGTTCATCGGAAAATGGCTCCGCCTGCTCCTAAGGTCCTATGATCTTGCAAGGGGTAGGGGAGGGCTAGGGCGGTCACGAAGAAACGCTTCCTGTTTGACCCTGCCGGCCCTCGAGGAAAGAATTTCCGAGACGAGACATTGCCGGAGATTGCCCTAACCTCGACAGGGCAGCAAGAGCAGCGAGTGTGTCTAGTAACTTCTGATCTTCGGGAATGCTGATAGCTTCGCTGGTTCTCTGCGCTGCAGACCGGGAAGACTCAAGCGCCCTCGTTGCGAGTCAGGGCCTCTCTAGAATTGCGGTGTATTGCCCTCGGCCGTCGAATGCTAGGGCTTTGCGACAGCGACCTTGTGCAAAGGTGCTGGACATTCCCGAAGATGAAGACTTGCTGAATGCCACCACCTCGGATCGCCCTGATGCCTTCAAAGCTCTCCGACTGACTGTGGTAGCTCCGAGCATGGCAGGTGGCCCTGTGGGAAGAGAAAGCCACCAAGCAGTGGTGCAAGTTTGACATCACCGCGAGCTCCTCAGCTTCAGCTCGAGGAATGGAGTTCCTTTTGTTCCTCCTTTGAGCTTTGAGGACTCTCATGATTTCTGGAGCCTCAGTGTGCCAGGATCCGACTGAATTCACTTCCCTCTTCGATTGGAAGCCCAAGAATGGCAACAAGTTCCGGCCCCGGCTCTCAAGCTCTCGTCAAGCTTCAGAGGAAGGTAGCAGGATGCCTTTCTACTGCTACTTAGCGCTCAGCAGAGGGGTGGTCGTTCTTGCGTTCGTGGTCGTGGTGGTCCGCAGCAGCCAATGACATGAGACTTGCATGCGAGGTGCTTCGGCCGGACCCTTAGATTAATGCAATTCCCGCAGGCATGCCATGCTTCAGAAGCACACAGGTTCTCATGCTGTTGTGTTCCTCCTGAGGCTGTGCCAACATCATGTCGGACAAGCGGTTCTACAAACATGGCGGTGCCGCCAAACTGTCGCATGCTCAACAGCCGGCCTGGACGGTAGCAAGGGTGCCGCTCGGAGCGTGTGGGTCGAAGCCTCTGCGGCTTTGAGGTTTTACACTGCGCACCATGCGGTGGTCCCATCCGAGCAGTGATCTCAGACTCAGCGCACCCAGCAGTAGACTATCTGATCAGCTCGACCCGAAGCCAAGCGGAAAACTACGCCTTCGGCCGTGAGAAAGCCGGAATGCGGGCAGGACACGCAAGCAAGTCGATCAAATCGAGAGCAAGCTGAAGGAAGGTAGCTGGCCCTCCTCGACGATTGCAGGAGCCTCAGGCAGCATCAAATGGCTCAACATAATGCAGCTGCCTTAGCAGATTCGGAATGGTTCTACATTCTAGATCTTCTTTGCGCAATAGCTGCCGCAGAAAACTTAGTCCAGGAAATGGGACCGCTGTGACTCTGACTCTTAATTATGAGGAAATGGCAGACAACGGCAACAGAGTGGAGAGTAACATGAGTATACATGAGTAACGACATGGACATGGGCCCAGTAGAAGACGTCAGCGGGTGCTTTGTGCTTGCAGCCTTTCCGAGGGTCCGACGTTGATGTTCCTAGATCCGACGGGGCAGGGTGTTTGGCCTTCAGTCCCTGCCTTCTGGTCCTCTGTTCCTGCTTTTGGCCTTTGGTGGGCCTTTTTTTGGGTTTGGCTGGCCTGGTCGGGATTTGTTCTCTTGCGGGGGCTGCTGGGTCTCCGTGGTCGTCTTTGAAAGCAAGCTACTGTGTTATCTGGCAGCGCTTCATTTCCTGATAGCTTGCCTCCACATAAGAGGGTCGAGGAAGCACTGGGTTGTGCAAACCCCCTTAGCTTGCCGCAAAGCTGGGTGGCTGGGTCCTTGTCCCAATGTAAGTTCCCAGCAGTTTGCTGCAAAACACAAACCATAAAGATGCAGAGTTTGAAAGAGATCAAATCCAGGCAAAGCACCGAGCACAGATCCGCCACGCCTAAACAGAAAGCACCCCAGCCCCTGATCGACTTGGAGGACAGTGGATCGCTGCAAGAAAAAGGGCCATCTCTTCTCACCTGCACCGAGGTTTTCAACCAGTCGGCATCTTGGGTAGATGTCTGCCCCACACCCTCCGAGAGTCTCAAAGTGTGGCTCTTGGCACAAGGAGATTGTGGACCGCAGATGAGCTGCGCAAAGCACATCCACATCTCGAATGTTCGTGCCTTAGACCTCACATAAGGGGGACTTCCTGACCGTTCGAAACAGTTACGCTTGAGAGCACACGTCGGACGGCGTTTGTTGCGCGCCATTGGCTTCAGATGCGTCAGCTAGACTGCTTTCACCCCGCACACCTGCTGCAGTCGAAGTGCATGCAAGATTCGAAGATGAGTCCGATCATTGACGCCAGCTTTTGCCAGGCTTGGTTTGAGCGTCGTGGCCGAGTCTCTGCCAGATCAAAATTTGATTGCAGTGTGCGAGACATAGGGAAGCAGTGAGGTCATGGCCAACACAGTTCGGCCCAAACGGCATCGTCGGCTCGAGCTGGCTATTCAGACTGAATGTTCCAGGTGTCTCCACCGGACAGAAGCACAATGAAGAACATCACATCACTACATTGTCACTACATGACAGAATTCTTTTGACTGTCTCGGGTGCCATGACCAGCCGGAGCATGCTGCATTCTCGCCGGATCACAAGGCACGCATCCCTGCACTTGTTCCTCTTAGGGCCTGATGCCTCGCGCGGTGATAGCGGGGCGCAATACAATTCACGTGAGTAAGCCCCACCGATGTTGCTGCTTTCCGTCGGCGTGCTTGGCCGTCACGGTTAGGCTAGTTAGCAAGCGGAAGCTTTTCAATCATGCTGTCAGGTTCTGTCAGGATTGAGGTATTTTTATCCAGTATTCAACTCCACCGTGACTCGGCATGTCTTACCGCACAATTGTTGGCTCGGTAGGCTCCAGGTGTCCAGTCGGGTAGGAGCCGGTGAGGACTCGACAGCTTCAGGGCAAAATGCTGTCTTCCAACGCTGCCTTCACGGTGATCAGCCCCTCAACGATTGCTCCTCAAGTGCATGTGGAGCCACGGGCCCCCAAGGCCAACACTGCAGGCGCGTGGGTCTCCAACAGCACCGGGAGTGCCTTGGCGGCTGCTGGCCTGGTGACTGCTGCCGGGCTTCGACGCAAGGCCCGTGGGGCTCGTGCCGCGAAGACTGGCCCTGTTGCCACCGGTTTGTCCAGCTCCGTTGGCAGTGAGACCTACTTCCGGGATCAGCTGGTCGCCTGCCGCGCTCAGCTTGATGGAGCGGAGGCGCCAAGCCTCCAGGAGACCGACCAGCACGTCCAAGACGTGCAGAACTTCGCAAAGCAGGCATTGGCTGGAGCCGCTGCCGCCATGGTCTTCACGTCGTCCATGGAGTCTGCAGTCGCATACCCCATCTTCGCACAGCAGAATTATGCCAACCCGCGAGAGTACACAGGCAAAATCGTGTGCGCCAACTGCCACCTGGCGTCCAAGCCGATCGAGGTGAGGATTCCACAGGCCGTGTTGCCGGACACCGTCTTCAAGACTGAGGTGGAGATCCCAGCTAAGTATGCCAAGCGCCGCCAGCCCATTGCAGATGGCTCCAAGGCGCCCATGAACATCGGCGCCATCGCCGTGATGCCGGAGGGATGGAAGTTGGCTCCCAAGGATCGTCTGCCGAAGCCGCTGAAGAAGGAGATGAAGGGCCTCGCCTGGCAGGCCTACAGCAAGGAGTACCCCAACATCGTGGTCGCAGGACCCGTGCCCGGCGAGACCTACGAGAAGATGGTGCTGCCGGTCCTGGCACCGGATCCCAACACCAACGACAAGGTGCTCTTCGGCAAGGGTATCTTCTACTTCGGCGGCAACCGTGGTCGCGGCCAGGTCTACCCCGAGGGCAACCAGAGCAACAACAACCAGTTCTTCGCCAACGCAACAGGCACCGTGAGCGCTGTTGATGGCTTGAAGGTGACGATCACCACCCCGTCCGGTGAGGCGAAGACCGTCGAGTGCTTGCCCGGTGCCGACATTGTGGTTCAGGTTGGTGATGAAGTCGAGAAGGATGAGCCGATCACCACCAACCCCAACGTCGGGGGCTTCGGACAGGAGGAGAAGGAGTGCATCCTTCAGGAAGCTAGGCTATCCTCAGGATGCTTTCGGTGAGTTGGTGGGTGTTTTGCCCACGTGTCAGGTCTCCCACTCCATGAGAACAAAGTAGCTGCACGGCAGACTAAGGACATGAATCGCGTCTATGCCTACTGCGCGTTTGCCTTCTCCTGCTTCATTGCTCAGCTGTCTTTCGTCCTCAAGAAGAAGCAGTTCGAGAAGGTGCAGCTGGCAGAGGGATTTTGAGCTGCTGCGGTGGATGAGTTCATGTGGCGTGTAGCTTGAAACGTAGACAGTAGCTCCTGCAGAGCTAAGTTCTTAAATTTTCGCATACCGCACCCATCCTTGAATGGGGAATTGGCTCAGGCTAAGCCTGCAATCCCGCAGCATGAGTTTTTGAGTTCAGTGCTTGCCCAGTGGTGGCTGAGTAAAGCGTATCCGCTGCACGCCTGTTGCCCACCGGAGCCAAAACAGGGCATTCTGGGCCTTATGGGAGTCACTTCTGAAGTTTTCTGAGTTCACACAGAGGTTTCCCCGCGCCCTGAACCTGATGCATAGGTGACCTGCATCGCTGAGGTGGACGAAACATTAGGCTCCAAGTGTCCAGTCGGGTAGGAGCCGGTGAGGACTCGACAGCTTCAGGGCAAAATGCTGTCTTCCAACGCTGCCTTCACGGTGATCAGCCCCTCAACGATTGCTCCTCAAGTGCATGTGGAGCCACAGGCCCCCAAGGCCAACACTGCAGGCGCGTGGGTCTCCAACAGCACCGGGAGTGCCTTGGCGGCTGCTGGCCTGGTGACTGCTGCCGGGCTTCGACGCAAGGCCCGTGGGGCTCGTGCCGCGAAGACTGGCCCTGTTGCCACCGGTTTGTCCAGCTCCGTTGGCAGTGAGACCTACTTCCGGGATCAGCTGGTCGCCTGCCGCGCTCAGCTTGATGGAGCGGAGGCGCCAAGCCTCCAGGAGACCGACCAGCACGTCCAAGACGTGCAGAACTTCGCAAAGCAGGCATTGGCTGGAGCCGCTGCCGCCATGGTCTTCACGTCGTCCATGGAGTCTGCAGTCGCATACCCCATCTTCGCACAGCAGAATTATGCCAACCCGCGAGAGTACACAGGCAAAATCGTGTGCGCCAACTGCCACCTGGCGTCCAAGCCGATCGAGGTGAGGATTCCACAGGCCGTGTTGCCGGACACCGTCTTCAAGACTGAGGTGGAGATCCCAGCCAAGTATGCCAAGCGCCGCCAGCCCATCGCAGATGGCTCCAAGGCGCCCATGAACATCGGCGCCATCGCCGTGATGCCGGAGGGATGGAAGTTGGCTCCCAAGGATCGTCTGCCGAAGCCGCTGAAGAAGGAGATGAAGGGCCTCGCCTGGCAGGCCTACAGCAAGGAGTACCCCAACATCGTGGTCGCAGGACCCGTGCCCGGCGAGACCTACGAGAAGATGGTGCTGCCGGTCCTGGCACCGGATCCCAACACCAACGACAAGGTGC